CACATCCCTTAGTGGTAATAAATATTAATAAACAATGAACATTTAAAAATTTTATAGTTTCTTTGGATCAGAAATTTGAGAGAGGATTACCTTGGTGGTTCTGTCAAGGAGGTTTTCATGAAATTGCAGTCAATTTGTCAGCTGGGGCTGCAGTCCTCTGAAGACTTAATGGGGGCAGGAGGATCAGGTGGCTTCCAAGGTGGCTTACTCACATGGCTGGCAAGTTAGTTCTGGGTGTTTCCAGGAGGCCTAAGTTTCCCACTATGTGGACCTCTCCATTGGACTTCTCTCAGAGCGAGTCATCCAAGAGAGAGCAAGACAGAAGCAACCATGAAAGTCACACACATCACTTCCATCTTATTCTGTTGGTCACTCAGACCAGCCTTGATAAGATTTAAGAAGGGACTACAAAAGAGTGTAAATACCGGAAGGCAAGGATCCTCGGGGAAGATCTTAGAAGCTGGCTACTATAATACAGTAATTTTGAAAAAAGTCATTATAAGGGTTGAAACATAAAACTGGAGAAATTATCAGAAAGGAGAACAAAGAGGCAAGTAGATGGAAATAGAAGAGATAAAAAATGACATAATCATTTCAGGAAGTCCAATATGTAACTAATAGAAGACCCAGGAAGAAAGAGGAGAGGAAAGAGATGACAAGAAATTATCAGAGAAATTTAGCAAGGTTTCAACATACTAAATTATTATAGAAACGTCACACACACATACATACACACGCACGAACAATGAACAATTAGAATATAAATTTTTTAAAATAAAATTTTAAATTTGATATAGACCCTATTGGGTCTTGCCATGTTGCCCAGGCTTGTCTTGAACTCCTGGGCTCAGGCAATTCTCCTGCCTCGGCCTCCAAAGTGCTAGGATTACAGATGTGAGCCACCACACCTGGCCAGAAAATAAAAAAATTTTTAGTACCATTTACAATAGTGTCAAAAAATAAATGCTTAGAAAAAAATTTAACTGAAGATGTCAAAGATACTGAAAACTACAAAACGTCGCTGAAAGAAATTAAAGCTATTTTCTCTATTTATTTAGAAAAACAGAGAAATACACTATTTCATGGGTTGCAAGGCCTAATATTGTTAAAATGCCAATTTCCCCCTAATTGAGGTGTAGTTTCAACTCAATTCCAACCAGCAGATTTTTTTTTTTTTTGGAGAAGTGGATTTATAATTTATAATGTATGTTAGAATAAAAGAACAGAATAGCCAACACATTCTTGAAACATAACAAGTTGGAGTAATTATAGTACCTTACTTCAAGGCTTACTATAAAGCTATAGTAATGAAGACAGTGTGGTATTACATAAAGATAGACAAAATAGATCAATGGAACAGACTAGAAAATTCAGAAATAGACCCACAATTATACAGTGAATAAGTTTTTGACAAAGACACCAAAGATATTTAAGGGGGAAAGGAAAATGTTTTTAAGAAATGGTGTTGCGGCCAGGCACGGTGGCTCACACTTGTAATCCCAGCACTTTGGGAGGCCGGGGTGGGCAGATCATGAGATCAGGAGTTCAAAGACCAGCCTGTCCAATATGGTGAAACCCTGTTTGTGGAAAATAGAAAAGTTCCTTTTTAAAGTTTCTTTTCTTTTAAAGAATAAATCGTAAGTATGCGAATAACTTTGTTAAGCCCTATCCTATGTAGCTGTTAGACATGCTGTGCTTACAGGCATCTAGTACATTCTATGTCCTTGTACTTTAACCAAGATATCTGTGCTGGACATGCTCATAGGCATGTCTCAGCTCTCCATTGCTTTTACCTGTTTAGAAAAGTTATAAGTTGTTAGCCAATTGGGTTTTAGTTTAGATTATAAGGTCTGACTCCAGCCAATGGAGATCAGACACAGCAGTAAGGACAACCCCAAATGCGTAAGAAATAAATTTGTGTGTTTTCCTTTGTTCTTTGTACTCTCGTGGCAAGATGGCTAGTGAGAGTACCCTTCCTGCAGTCCAGGAAGTAAAAACTGCTTTGTTGAAAGATCTTTTGTCTCAGTGTTTATATTTCTTTGCAGCACTGAGCATCTATTTCCAACATCATTTCCAACACCATTTCTACTAAAAAATACAAAAATTTTCTGGGCATGGTGGTGCACGCCTGAAGTCTCAGCTACTTGGGAGGCTGAGGCAGGAAAATTGCTTGAACCCAGGAGGCTGAGGTTGCAGTGAGCCAAGATGGTGCCATTGCACTCCAGCCTGGATCTCAGAGTGAGACTCCATCTCAAAAAAAAAAAAAAAAAAAAAAGAAAAGAAAAAGAAAAAGAAATGGTGCTGGAGCCATGTAGATGCAAATAAGCTCTCAAATCTTATCCCATACTGTTTGCAAAATTTAGTTGGAGATGGATCTCATTTTACATTTTACACCTAAATGCAAATGTAAAAGTCCAAATTCTCAAGCCATCAACAGACACTGTTATTAGCAAAGTAAATAAGCTCACAGAATGGGAGAAAATATTTGCAATTACTACATTTGATACAGCATTTATATTCAAAATATTTAACAAGCTATAACTCAATAATAAGAAAACAAACATCTTAACTAAAAATTGGCAGTCTTGACAGGACACTTTACAAAGGGAGATATATGTGAATGACCCATGAGCACATGAAAAAGTATTCAGCATCATTAATCATCAGGGAAAAGCAAATTAAAACCACAGTGAGAAAAACCACACGCTCATAAGAATGACTAATGTTTAAAACACTGACAACACCAAGTGTTAACAAGGATGTAGAAACATTAATATTTCACACACTCGTGATGGGAGGATAAAATGGCACAACCAGTTTAAAAAATAATGTGGCGTTTTCTTGTAAAATTAAATATACACCTACCCAACCCAGCAATTCCACTTTAGTTAGGTTCACAAAAAACATGTGTACATAGCAGTACTTTATTCACAATAGAAAAAAAAGGGAAAAGCAGATGTCCACTGACAGGAAAAAGGATATTTTGTGGTCTCTTCACACAATGGAATATGACTATAAACAATGAAATGGAACAAACTGCTGATGCTTACAACGACATAAATAAATATCAAAATTATTTTGCTTAGAGAATGAAGCAAGACACAAATAACACTTGTTGTATGATTCCATTATTATTTTATTATAGAACACACGAAGCTAACCATTATTAACAAAAAATCGGAACAGTGGTTGCTTCTAGGAAATGGGAATTGATTGAGAGAGGATGTAAGAAAGTTTTCTGGGGTTGATGGCAGTGGTCTATTAACTTGATGAAGGTGTGGGTTATACAAATGTATGTTTTTTTCTTTTTTTTTAAGAGTCAGGGCCTGGCTCTGTAGCCCAAACTGGAATGCAGTGGCACCATCATGGCTCACTACAGCCTGGAACTCCTGGACTCAAGTAATTCTCCTGCTTCAGCCTCCTGAGGGGCTGTGACTACAAGCATGTCCCACCACCAGGATAATTTTAAAATTTTTTGTAGAGACAAGGGTCTTGCTCTATCAACCAGGCTGGAGTGCGGTGTCACAATCACTGTAGCCTCGAACTCCTGCTCACAATCTAGCTCTAACATTCTGGCTTGCTGAATAGATCGATAGGTAGGCAGACAGATAAATAACTAGCTCAACAATTCTGTTGCTCCTTGTATTTATTATGATAGCACAATTATTGGGTTTTGATCAGTAGAATAAATCGTTAGTACAAATTGGTCTCTGGTGTGACTTTCTTTGCCACATCTTATTTATACTAGTATTTCTTTGCCTGTGTGACATTTTCATCTATTCTCTTTGCTATGTTGATATTTAAGTCCCAGAAAAGAGTGGGTAGGAACTAGAGTAGCTCTCAAGGTGACAGGCAAATCTTCTAAGTAAAAAAAAAATCGGCTAATTTTTTTGGTATTTTTAGTAGAGACAGGGTTTCACCATGTTGGCCAGGCTGGTCTCCAACGCCTGACCTCAGGGGATCCACCTGCCTCGGCCTCCCAAAATGTTGGGATTACAAGCGTGAGCCACCGCGTCCCGCCTCAAATCATTTTAAAATTTCCATTGATCTCTTCTTTGATCTAGAGATTTGGAATTATGTTGCTTAATTTCCAACATGTCTGGAATTATCTGGCTTTTTGGATTGATTGCTAGTTTAAAAATTCTATTGCGGTTAGAGATGATACTCTGATTTCAATTCTTTTAAATTTGAGGCTCACACTGAGGATTAAGTACGAAGACATTTTTTTTTGAGACCCGCTTTCTGGCCTTGCCTCACACACTTGATTTTGTTTTGTTAAGGTGGGGTAATGATAGCACGTTCAGGGATAGATTTTTCATCTGCCTTGGTGATGCATAGACTGCACTGTGGCCGTTAAACACTATGCTTTGAAATCCCACACAGTATTTTCTTCATCTGGAGGTCCTGGAGGCTTACACCAGGGAGGAGGACACAGTTCAGGCCAGCGTAGTCTTCAGCAGCACCGCGGGACTTTTGGGGAACGCCTTTGGCCTCTCAGAACGGCGGGGCGGAACGGTGGGTTTGAGCCCTCCCGGCTCAGGGTGGGTCGCTCAGGAGCCACCTGTGGACTTTGGGAAGCAAGAAAAGTTGTACCCTAGGATTTTTTTCTACTGGTTTTCTCTTCAGAAGCGAGAAAGCCAAGTTAAGAAAACCCAGACTCAGACGGAGGTGGAGCGGGACTGCGTTCAGGCAAGGTGGCAGAACGCCTCGTCCGGGACAAAGAGAGCACATCTCTTAGCGAGGCCTAAGGAAGCAGGGCTCCCATTCGCCCCGGCAACCCACCGACCCAGCCAAGGAGAGCGTCTCTGGACGAACCCTTCTTTTTCTCCTTCCTTCCCAGCCGCTCAAACTTCCACAGAGAAGAGGAACTGGGTGTGGCAAAGAGGCCGGACACAGAACCGCCAGGCCGGTGACTGAAAGACCGGCCTGGGCCAGGCCGCGAACCTGCGTCCAGCCAGGCCCCGCCCACGGACGTCATCTGTCCGTCCCCGCCCCGACCTCCGAAGGGTGGAGCCTGAGGCCCTGCCTCCAAGCGGCCTCTCCCCGGAGGGCCGGGCGGCCAGCAGGGCGGGGTGGCAGGCCGGGAGAGGGAAGGGTGCGGGGGGAAGGGGAGAGGAAGGGAGCGGTCACGTGTGGATAGCCGCCCGAGGTCACGTGACGGGGCGCCGGAGCGGAGGGAGCCGGGGCTGGGAGTTCTCCTGAGGAAAGAGGAGTGGAGTCGGGGGGACGCGGCGGCGGCGCTGACAATGGTGAGTGCGCGGTGGCCCGCGCGCTCGCCTCCCGCCCTCGCCCTGGAGTGCGCGGCGGGCCAGCCAACCGCGGGCCGGGCGTCGCCGGAGGAGGAGACGGGAGAGCAGGGCGGGGAGCGGGATTAGGCCTGTCGGGCCACCCCCGGGTCTGGGAAGAGCCGGCAGCGCCACCTCTTCCCGGTCTCGGCGAGGCCCGAGCACCTATAGGCGGCTGCGGTGGCGGCGGCGGCGTGCTCTCCCGGCCGTGTCGGAGCCTCTGCCCGCGTTCTTCGACCGCCTAATAGGGGCCCTGGCTGGGGACTCGGACCCCGCCTCTAAGAGGGCTAGTCGCCGCCTCCCCTTCCTAGGTAGCTAGTCCCTGCTCTCCTCCCGGGCAGCCTTGCTTCCATCCAGGTGGGGTGACCTGGGAGCCCCCCAGCTCCGGACTCTGCAGGGGACTTGGGCCCTCAGTGTGTCACGAACTTGAGAAACTGATATTTTAAACTTGGCTGTGGTGACATTCTTTGATTTCATGACCCCAGTTCAGGCTTTCATGTTGACACTTGTAAAATGGGAGAGAAAAATAAAAGGACGTTGGAATGGGGGGACATCTTTAACTACAGAGACACCCGTTTGGTGGCCGCCGTTTTAAGCATTGACTCTCATTTTCGTCCCCAAGCCATTTCACTGAACTTAACGCTCTGGGTTGTTGAAACGGCCTGGGAAGCAGAGGAGGGAGGGGAATCAGTGCTCTCACCACAGTCCGTGGAAGCACTAACCTAGGCATAGTGGTATTTAACTGAGTGTCTGCAGTCTCCTCTAGGTTAGATCTCATTTTACCCATTTGATGGTAGTCGTCAATTCGCTTCATTTAGCAAGCGTACGTTGAGCGCCTACTGTATGCTTTCCTAATACTACCTGCTTTCCCAAAGCTCACTGATTCAATAGAGTGCTTGAGACTTTTGGCTAAAAGGCCAAGCCAGGTTAATTTTTTTTTTAAGTTACTTTGAATAAATAACTTTTAAAATCAGTAATGGTGTTGCTTTCATTAAAAAAACAACAGACATTCATGTTCATTCTTAGAGCTCTTTTTCTTTCATTCAACAAATAATTGCTCAGGAGACTCAAGTAAAACGGAAACAGCACCTACCTGCTCTCTTATAGCTTACAATGTAGGGAGAGATAAACGTTTATTTGTGTAAATTATTTGTTTAACGTGGAAATTGGAATTGTGACAGATACTAGGAAGTATTGAGGGACCTTGCCTAGTCAGGGAGTTAGGGCAGGCTTCTTTAATTTAATATCGTTTGAAAAGAAAACTTAAAAGGTCCTCCTATTTTTTGCTTACATTTGTAATTATTACTCTTAAGCTTTTTTGAATTACGTTCAAGAGCAGTTTATTTTCAAGTTACTGCTCAAACTAAATTGTAAAACTTTAAAACATTGAAATGGGTGCAGATGTAATATATGTATGAAAATTTGCTGTTTCATTGCTTGTGTATGGGCTAAGTGAATGAATTTTGAGAGCCAGCCTTCCACCTCAGAAATGCAATGAGTTGCATTTCTTTACATCTACTGGACTTAATGAAATTCCTTCAGTGAGGACTAAAAAGTTTGTTGCCTTTTAATGTGTCTACACGTATTTTTGCTAATTGGTAACTTTCCATATTGGGTTTACAATTATATGAAAAATCATAAATTAACCTAAAGTCAGTGATAGGAGGTTTAGGCCAAGATTAAAAAACTGTAAAAACAATTGCTAGCATGTTTTTATAATCATATATATTGCAGTCCAGTTATTTAAAAGCTCCCTAAGAGTTTTAACTTGCATATTAAGAACTGATCCTGAAAAATCACAGTATTCCAAATGCTCCCTTGAACATATCTTTACCAAAAGAAGTGAGTAGTATTTTTGCAGTTTAAAAGATCTCGCAGGCTCATGCCTGTAATCCCAGCACTTTGGGATGTTGATGCGGGCAGATCACCCGAGGTCAGGAGTTTGAGACCAGCCTGACCAACATGGTAAAACCCCATCTCTACTAAAAATAAAAATAGTAGCTGGGCATGGTGGTGCACACCTGTAACGCTAGCTACTTAGGAGGCTGAGGCAGGAGAATTGCTTGAACCTGGGAGGCTGAGGTTGCGGTGAGCCAAGATCGAGCCACTGCACTCCAGCCTGGTGACAAAGGGAGACTCCGTGTCAAAAAAAAAAAAAAAAAAATCTCAAAATTGCCGTAAATAGATCCTAACCCTCACAAATTTTATTCCCTTTCCTTCTAGTCCTTAACATCCTGACAGTTCTGTATTTTACTTCCTCTTCAACCCATCAGAAGTACTATAATTTGATTGTGAATAATTAGAAAAATAATTTAATTTCAAGACCCTTTATTTCAATTGACACAAGTTGCACATCTTGGAAAAAACTTTTGAAAGCAAGACTTTGGGTTGAGAATCTTTCAGTGGCTTCTAAAAGACAAGTGTTTTTCCTCAGTTATTTTTTCTTTTTGTTCTATACCTGTAAAATGTAAGATATCCCCAGTTTTCTGGAGGTGTTTTTTAGTAAAACTAGATCTTTTTTTTTTTTTTTTTTTTTTTTTGAGATGGAGTCTCACTCTGTCACCCAGGGGCTAGAGTGCAGCAGCACAATCTCGGCTTACTGCAACTTACCCCTCAAGTTCAAGCGATTCTCCTGCCTTTCAGCCTTCCAAGTAGCTGGGACTACAGGATTGTGCTACCACCCCTGGCCAGTTTTTTTATTTGTATTTTTAGTAGAGACGGGGTTTCACTTGTTGGCCAGACTGGTCTAAAACTCCCGGTCTCAAGTGATCTGCCTGCCTTGGCCTCCCAAAGTGTTGGGATTACAGGTGTGAGCCACTGCCCCCTGCCCACTAGTTCATCTTTGATGTGCCCTACTGTAAAAAAAAAAAAAAAAAATGTTAAACCAATGCTGTATTCTCATGGAATAGTTAACTTGGTAAAGTGCAGTAATTTATTACTAAACCTATTACTTTTCTGCATTTGCTATACTAGGCTTTTAAAAAAATGCCTTTTGATTGCTTCCAATTTTAGTGTTTTGATTGTATTGAAAAGTATCTTTCTTTTTTGAGACAAGCTGTTTCTCTGTTACCCAGTTAGGAGTGGTTCACTGCAGCCTTGACCTCCTGGGTTGAGGCAATCCTCCTTATTCAGCTTCCCAAGTAGCTGGGACCACAGGCACACACCACTACACTGGGCTAATTTTAAATTTTTTTTAAGAAATGGGGGTCTAGCTATGTTGACCAGGCTAATCTTGAACTTCTGGGCTCAAGTGCTCCTCCTACCTCAGCCTCCCAAAGTGCTAGGATTACAGGTGTGAGCCACTGTGCTTGGCTACTCTTTATTTATTTATTTATTTTCCCTGGCTACTCTTTAAACAACTTATGAAATATTTCTTGCACCCAGAAAATAATAGAGGATAGCACGTAGTTTTCCACATATTTTTAATGTTTAGGAATTTAAAAATTTAAAGAATGTTGTCAAAATAAAACATTGTTTATGATGACATTGTTAGTTAATTGTGGAGTTTTATAAAATGAAACTTTGTTTATACTATTTTAATTAGCGGCAATTTTAGTTTTATTAAAATTTTGTTTAACTTTGGTGATTTGATTTTTTAATTTCAGCTTTCAAACCCCAAGTGGAGCTCTATGTGTGTCAAGTACGTGCATATGAGAAAAAGTTATAATTCCTTTTCTCTGTAAACAATTTTTATAGTTTCCAATCTCATTTTTCTTTTAAGTAGCCCTGGGAAGTGTCAGGAGAATGAGAAAATTAATTTTAAGGCCAAGGAAGATGGCTCATGCCTATAATACCAGCACTTTGGGAGGCTGAGGTGGGTGGATTATTTGAGCCCAGGAGTTTGTGATGGGCAATGTGGCAGAAACCCTGTCTCTACAAAAAGTATAAAACAAGCCAATTGTGGTGGTGAGCACCTGTAGTCTCAGCTACTTGGGAGGCTGAGGTGGGAGGTTTGCTTGCGCCCAGGAGGCAGAGGTTGCAGTCAGCTGAGATCATGCCACTGTGCTCCAGCCTGGGTGACAGAGTGAGACTATCTCAAAAAAAAAAAAAAATTTAATTTTTCTGTCTCTGTTTTATAACTCAGATGAGTTAATGTGGACATCATAAGAAAGGAGAGCTCATTCTTACTGCTCTCCCTGCCAATTATATTATCTTTCAATATAGCTGATTTTGTTTTTCCATCTAAAATAGACTGCTTCTTGAAGAGTTGTCTTCTACCCTTCCACAATTGCTCCTCCCACACAACCCCTCTACCCTGCTAGCTCAGCACATATTTGATTAGTAAATATGAGGTGCTTGATTTTGAGTTGCTATACATTCTTTAGCCCTTAGGAGAAAATGTACTACAGTATTTCAAAATTTACCATTTTGTGCAAGTTTTGAGTTTAAGACTTGGAGTAAGAAAGCTACCTGGGAAAGTGTGTGTAACTGATCACTAATGCTTTTCATTCTCTTTTTTCTAAATTAGTTTGGAATAGTTTTCTGATTAAAATTAGTTTTCTGGTTAAAATTTGAGTTTTTAGTTTTGCCAGAAAAGATGAAAATACCTTGTCAAAAAGAAAATTTGCTGCATATATCAAAAGTACTAATCTGGTGATTCTTTTAGTTGGCTTCTTAAAATTATAATCCCTTTTGTTAATATAGGATTTAGAAAAAAATTATCTCATTTGAGTATAGCATCACCTTGGCCCTTCGTAGCCACAAAATAAGATAACAGAAAACAAACTAATGACTCTCGCAAGTGAGGACAGAACTGAGATTTAATATAAGTTCCACTGGCATAGTATGCTACTATACTAATACTAATTTGCTGGGAAAGGCTAATATTACCGACTCTTCTAGGTTTCAGTTCATTTATCTTGTGTGTTTATTTATTTTCTATTAGAATGGTGTATGTTTGTTCAAAAGTAATTTAACATTCAACAGGTATTTGAATGCTTTCTACTAAATGCCATACACTGCCTTGGATGAGCCTCATAGAGTTTATAGTTCAGTAGGAGAGTCAGGTACTAAATAAGCCTTGTGAAACCTTAATTTAGAGAATGCAGTTTTGATTAGGAAATCAGGGAAGGTCTCATGGAGGGGGAGTCAAACTGAAACTCAAAGAGTGAATTAGGTTAAGAATACTTTGCTTGGCTCTGAGACAAGAAGGACATTAGCAAATTGGAGCTATTGAAGAAAGAACTCTGAACAATGGACCAGGCTGAGTGGCTGGAGAGATGAGTAGTGTCAGATATATGTAGACCACATTAGAGAATACTTTGCATGTGTGTCTATATATTTAAAATAACAGTTGGAGTAAAATATCTGTGGAAAAGTACACAAGTAGGTATATAGCTTGATGAATTTTCACCAAGTGAAATATCTGTATCAAATGCTCAGATCATTGCCTGACTTGTAATACCATAATGCATATTACATGTTTTTTACTTGCTCCATGAATGGAATTATACAGTGTGTATTCCTTTTGTGTCTGGCCTCTTCACTCAACATCAGGTGTATGAGATTCATTCTTGTGTGTAGTTGTATCTCCTCTAATTCTATTGCTAATTTGGTGTTCCCATTTGTATGAATATATACCAAAATGTATGTATTCATTCTTGTTGATTTTTGGATTGTTTCTATTTGGGGCTATTATGAACACTTATGAACACTCTTTTATTTTTTTTTAAATTTATTTATTTTACTTTAGGTGCATACTATATCTGGCATTTCTCCCCATGTTACCACTCCCTACCCCCCATCTCCACCCCCCATTGTCTCTCCCCTACCCCCCCAACTGCCCCCAGTGTGTGATGTTCCTCTCCCTGAGTCCATATGTTCTCATTGTTCAACACCCACCTATGAGTAAGAACATAAGGTGTTTGGCTTTCTGTTCTTGTGTCAGTTTGCTGAGAATGATGGTTTCCAGATTCATCCAAGGAACACTCTTTTTTTGATACAAATTCTTGCTCTGTGGCCCAGGCTAGAGGGCAGTGTTGCCACCTTCACTCGCTGCAACCTCTGCTTCCCGGGTCCAAGTGATTCTCCTGCCTCAGCTTCCCAAGTAGTTGGAACTACAGGCATGTGCCACCATGCCTGACTAATTTTTACACAGAGTTTTGAAAAAGAGACGGAGTTTCACCATGTTGGCTAGGCTGGTCCCAAACTCCTGACCTCAAGTGATCTGCCCGCCTGGGCCTCCCAAAATGCTGGGATTGCAGGCATGAGCCACCGCACCCAACCAGATATGTATATGTGTTTTTTTAAAGATCATTCTGGGCCAGGTGCAGTGGCTCATGCCTGTAATTCCTCCACTTTGCTGAGGCAGGAGGTTAGCTGAGCCCAGGAGATCAAGACCAACATGGGCAACATAGTGAGACCTTGTTGCTACAAAGGTTTTTTTAAAAAAGATCACCTGGTTGTTACGTAGGACAGAATATGAAGGGTGTAGGATGACAGGATAGAGACTGTTCTCTGTGTAAACTTAAAAAGATTAGAAGATTAAGTTTCATTGTGGCTAAAATAATCCATAATTATAACCAGTATCAAAATTGCTAATGGAGTCTGTATTATTACCAACTAATGTGTTTTGGCATTGATATGTAATTGATCTTTGTCCCTTATATTTGTCATATTCAGGATTTATAGAACAAGGCTTATAGATTTTCTTTGGAAAAATTCACAGAAATTTTATTATTTTCTTCCATTATAGCCAGTTTTACTACAAGGGCTTTCACAGTGTAATATATTCTCTTCAGACCAAATATAGCAGTGGTATAGTAAGTAGTACATTATAATAGTCCATTTGGATTTGCTGGAGTATGCTGAATTGTGTAAATTCTGCTATAATAAAAGAACCTTATAAAGGTATAAATAAAAGTAACTTTTCAAGTCTAGATGTTAAGAATTAGCTTCTTGGATTTCTGATATATGTTAATATTTGATTTTTTATAGTGGTTTCATATAGAAATGATTGAAATTATAGCCTGCTGAAACTTGTTTAGGGTTTTTTTTTTTTTTTGGTCTTTTTTGTGGTTAAAAAAACATGTAACATGAAATCTGCCCTCTTAACATTCTACTCAAGTTGCTCAGTATTATAACTTAGTATTGTACTCAATTTGCTCAGTTTTGATGTAGCTTTTTTCTTGGTGAGATGGAATTTCATTCTTGTTGCCCAGGCTAGAGTGCAATGGCACAATCTTGGCTCATTGCAACCTCTGCCTCCCAGGTTCAAGCGATTCTCCTGTCTCAGCCTCCCCAGTAGAGAGGAGGCACATGCCACCATGCCTGGCTAATTTTTGTATTTTTTGTAGAGATGGGGTTTCGTCATATTGGTCAGGCTGGTCTCGAACTCCTGACCTCAGGTGATCCGCCCGCCTCGGCCTCCAGAAGTTTTGGGATTACAGACATGAGCCACTGTGCCCACCCTTTGATGTGGCATTTGATATTTTTTTTTTTGAAACAAAGTTTTTCTCTTGTAGCCCAGGCTGGAATGCAGTGATGTGATTTCAGCTCACTGAAACCTCCGCCTCCCGGGTTCAAGCGATTCTCCTGCCTCAGCCTCCTGAGTAGCTGGGATTATAGGGATGTGCCACCACGCCCAGCTAATTTTGTATTTTTAGTAGAGACAGGGTTTCTCCATGTTAGTTAAGGTGGTCTTGAACTCCCGACCTCAGGTGATCTGCCTGCCTCGGCCTCCCAAAGTGCTGGGATAACAGGTGTGGGCCACTGCGCCTGGCCTTGATATAAGTTTTTATCATTTCCTTATGAACTCAAAGATTTGCAGTCTGTTTAACTGCAGGTCATAGGTAATTAAATTCAAATTAACAAAATGTAGTGACTGACTAAGCATGATAATATTTCATTTTATTTCAGAGTTTTCTTGGAGGCTTTTTTGGTCCAATTTGTGAGATCGATATTGTTCTTAACGATGGGGAAACCAGGAAAATGGCCGAAATGAAAACTGAAGATGGCAAAGTAGAAAAACACTATCTCTTCTATGATGGAGAATCTGTTTCAGGAAAGGTAAATCTTTTGTTTGACAAAACTGTCTACTTATAGGATATCAGAATTAGTTATCAAAGTGGTCTGTTTTCTTACATTTGAGTAAATTTTATGAGAGAGAGTTATTTTTTTCCCAAAGGTCAGCTAAAATCTTTGATTGATTAGAACATAATCTTTCCTGCAAAGGAAAGATTTTTACCCTGGAAAGCTTTCAGGGGAAGAGTCTCTAAATTTCATGCAAATTTTTCTATTTAAGTCTCCTGTGTTGTTCATGAAAAAAAAAATTTTTTTTCTTGTTTGTGATTATGTGCTTCTGTCTGGTTTCAGACAATTTCTCCAGATCGGAGCTATAATTCACCCAAAGTTTATTTTTCCTTAAGTTAGCAATTGAGAGTAAAGGTTTCTTTCTCATTCTTTGTAGCTTACCTCTCTGTACTGCTACTATTGTGTCTGTTGATTTCATTTCTAGGTACTCTGTAGAGGACTTGAGTACTTTTGGAATGTGTCTATGCATGGTCAGATATGTTTATAATGCCTTCTATAAGGTTTCACTTTTTTCCCCTTTTCTTTATCCAGTGATGTATAAGGTTTTTTGTTTTGGGGATTTTGTTTTGTTTGGAAATAGGGTCTCACTCTGTTGCTCAAGCTGAGTGCAGTGGTGTGATCATGGCTTACTGCAGCCTTGTACTCCTGGGCTCAGGTGATTCTCCTACCTCAGCCACCCTGGTAGCTGGGACTACAGGCGTACACCACCACCTGAGCTAATTTATATATTTTTTTGTAGAGATGGGGTTTCTCCATGTTGCCCAGGCTGGTCTTGAACTTCTGGGCTCAAGCAATCCACCCACCTAGGCCTACAAAAGTGCTGGGATTACAGGTTTGGGCTATCACACCTGGCCAATTATTCTTTTAATTTAGGGATATGATCAATACCTATTAGTGGTCAGTGATAGTGTAGAATAGTAATAGCATAGACAAAAGCAAGCCACAAAACATTTGAAATAATTTTTTAAATATAGATTACTAGGATTTTTCTCCTCTGCTTGTTTAATTAATATATTCATGTGGTAGACAGTTTGGGAAATAATATCTGTATTGTCTTTTCATATAGAAAGAATTCACTGTTAAAATTTGGGTGTGTTTCTTCTTACTCTTTGCATTAATTAATGTTCATATGTAATATAGTAAGCATACTTTTTCCTCTATTGTTGGATATTTAAGGAGTTTCTGTTTTTCAGATGCCTTTCTTCATATCTTTTATAATATGGACATCTGTATACATAAATTTTTCTCTAAATTTCTGTAGGACAGCATTACTTCCTTAGAATAGATTTCTGAAAGTGAGCTGCTAGGCCAAAATATATGTAATATCTGAAGGATCTTAATACACATTAACCTGGAAAATGTATTTGCATTAAATTACATGTCCATCATTGGATCTTTTTCACCCAAGACAGCATTGAATATGATCGCTTTGTCAGGTTTGCTATTTTGATAGGGAGGAACAGTCTCATTATTTTAATTTGCATTTCTTTGATTACTAGATAGATTGGACTTAGATTTATTTACCAGCCATTTGAGATTTTTTTTCTTTTTTAATTGTACTGCATTGTCTTTTTCTGGTCCTTTGCCAGATTACCTATTGGGGTCTTAGTGTTGAATCTGAAGTGAATTTTTTGGTTTTCAACTTTACTTCCCTTGTACTCGTCCTTTTAAAAGATGGAAAAAGAAAAAGGCCAAGTGTGGTGGCTCACACCTTTAATCCCAGCACCTTGGGAGGCCAAAGAGGGAGGATCACGTGAGCCTGGGAGTTTGAGACCATCCTGGGCAACATGGGGAGACCCCATCTCTATTTGAAAAAAAAAAGATGCAGGAAAAGAAAGACCTAAAGAAGAGCAGACAATCCTCAAAAGGATGGAGCATGTCAAATGAAAGAAGAGTAAAAGTAGTAGTGTTTGGCCTATTGAAACAACTTGTTAATGGGTTGAGGGTTTAGGAATACCAATCTAGTTTTCTTTCTAGGGAGACTGAACCTAATATCTCAGATATTTCATTTATAGATATGACATGTAAATATCTCTGCTGCTAAGTTGTAAGCTCCTTAAGATTAGAGGATCAGAGTGTGCTTCTTTATTTTCCATAATATACATCATAGTGTTGATTATACAATAGGCTTTTACTAAATATTTATTTGGTTTGGCTGGGAGTGGTGGCTCACGCCTGTAATCCCAGCACTTTGGGAGGCTGAGGTGGGCAGATCACAAGGTCAGGAGTTCAAGACCAGCCTGGCCAACTTAATGAACCCCTGTGTCTACTAAAAATGCAAAAATTAGTCTGGTAAGATGGCGTGTGTCTATAGTCCCAGCTACTCGGGAGGCTGAGGCAGGAGAATCACTTGAACCCAGGAGGTGGAGGTTGCAGTGAGCTGAGACTGTGCCATTGCACTCCAGCCTGGGTGACAGAGCAAGACTCTGTCTAAAAAAAAAATTATTTGGTTTATTTACTGTTTTTTTTTGTTGTTGTTGTTGTTGTTTGAGATGGAGCCTTGCATTGTCGCCTGGGCTGGAGTACAGTGATGTGATCCGGGCTCACTGCAACCTCCACCTCCCAGGTTCAAGCGATTCTCCTGCCTCATCCTCCTGAGTAGCTGGGATTACAGGTGCCCACCACCACACCTGGCTAACTTTTTGTATTTTTTTTTAGTAGAGACGGGGTTTCACTATGTTGGCCAGGCTGATCTTGAAAGACTGACCTGGTGATCCACCCGCCTCGGCCTCTCAAAGCGCTGAGATTCCAGGCATGGGCCACAGGACCTAGCCTATTTACTGTTTCTAAGTTTTACAGAAAATATTCTCAGTCTAAAGTAATTTTATGTCATCTGGATCAATTGAATGTTCATGGCTGATGTTTATGGGATAAAGAAAAAGGGGGATATTTAAGCTAGAAATAGAGTTACCCCAGTGTGTTTTTAAAAAAGAATAGTTGGTGTTCAAATTACATTTTGGTCCTGGGTGTGGTGGCTCATGCCTATAGTTGCAGCACTTTGGGAGGCCAAGGAGGGAGGATCATTGAGCCCAAGAGTTCAAGACCAGATTGAGCAACCTAGGAAGATCCCATCTCTACCACTAAATACATAATTTTTTGAAAAATTACATTTTGGAATTGCTAGAAATCATACATAGACCTGATCAACGATAGATCACATTTTAAAAAATGATAAGATCTCTTATAGGTAAGTATTTTCTGTTCAAAAGTTACTGTATCTTGAATCTGATTGTTTATTGGTCTGAGTTTTTTTTTATTTTTAATGTTTATTGAAAAACAAAACCCATCTAGAAAACCATACACAACAAAAATAAGTTATTATAAGGCATATTTTCTTATAATCACCATCCAAGTCAAGAAGTAGTACTTTGCCAGCTACCCCATGTGTCCTGTCTCCATCACACTCCCATCCCCTCAAATGTAACCACTGTACTGACTTTTATAGTAGTAAACTTTGTTGTGTTTCTTGTTTAGTTTTTCTCATTTAAGGAAAATTTGTTAGGCCAGGCGAGGTGGCTTATGCCTGTAATCCCAGCACTTTGGGAGGCCAAGGCAGGTGGATCACCTGAAGTCGGGAGTTCGAGACCAGCCTGACCAACATGGAGAAACCCCGTCTCTACTAAAAATACAAAAAAATTAGCCGGACGTGGTGGCGCATGCCTATAATCCCAGCTACTCAGGAGGCTGAGGCAGGAGAATCGCTTGAACCCAGGAGGTGGAGGTTGCGGTGAGCTGAGATCGAGCCATTGCCCTCCAGCATGGGCAACAAGAGCAAAACTCCATCTCAAAAAAAAAAAAAAAAAAAGGAAGAAAAACTTGATATGATTTTTAAGTCTCTCTTAATCGCAGGTTCCCTCTTCATACCTTTCTCTAACTTGTAATATCTCTTGAAGAGCACGTTGGTCATTTGAATTGTAGAGTTTTCTATGTTTGTGTATTCATGGTACAGTTATTGCCTGTAAGTTGGCAGCTAGGTCCAGAGGCTTGAATCAGACTCAACTTTGATTCTTCTGGCAGGAATATAGGTGGTGGTGTCTTTTTTCATTGCGGTGCAAAATGTCTGGTTTTCTTTCTCTGTTTTTTTTCTTTTTTATAACTGTTGATACTCAGTACCTAGATTGATTTAACTCATTGGGAGTTGCAGAATGGTGATCTTTTAAATTCTGTCATTTTGTTTTTACTTATTAGATGGAATACATTTATAAAGAGATGTTATTCTTGTTTTGTTACCTAGTGGTACAGCTCGTATAGAAAAAAAAAATGCTTGACCCTTTTCCTTTTTTGGCCTGTCTCAAAAAATAATAAATTGGTTCCTTATCCTCCAAAGGTGTAAACCGTTGGTTTTATTTCTCAGTAACATTTATAAGCTCATGATTTAAACATACTTGATGTTTATAAATATTATCCTATTGAAGCTCCAGTTGTACAGTCCTATATAACAAGTTACTACAAACTTAGCAGCCTAAAATAAGAAATTTATATCTTAGGATTTTTGTGAGTTAGAAGTCCAAGTATGGGTTAGCTGGATCCTGTGCTCAGGGACTTAAAATCAGTCTAAGGTCACAGTCTATTCTGAAGTTCAGGATTCTCTTCCAGGCTCACCGGTTTTTGGCAGAAATTTCCTTGTAGTGCTATGACTGATAGCCTTGTTTCTTGTGCAGTTGGATGTCTGCTTCTTGAGGCTGCCCTCAGACCCTTACTGAGTGGCCCCCTTCTCTCAGTTTCTTCAAGGCCAGGAGGAGAGCATCTATCTGACATTTATCTTATTTTAAAGAGCTTACCTGGTTTGATCAGTTCCAGCTAGGATAATCTCCCTTTTGATTAACTAAAAAAATCAACAGATTAGTAACCTCATCACAGGAGTGGTATCCTATCATATTCACTGGCCTCACCCACACTCAAGAGGATTATACAGATGTGCACACCATGGGGTAGTAATATGGAGGGCTATCTTTGAATTCTATCTACTACATTTA